AAATTGGGCAAAAAGGGTCAGGACTCATAATATTGGTATTCAGTAATCAGTGGAAGATTAAATGTTTACTGTAGACAAGTTGCAGAGGTCCCACACCGCTGCCTCCCATCTCCTGAGACTGCACTCAGTGACTTGGGTCTGAGACACTACAGACAGACATATCCCTCCACCCGGCACAGCCAGCAGACCACAGAGCAAGGAACCCTGGGAGAATTGTTCTGTCAGAGATCCTGTTAGCCCCATGATAAGGGGTAGAAGACCCAATATACATGTCCCAGGTCAATCAACACCTATTGTGAACATCAGCATTTTGCTGGCAGCTGAACCCCAGAACCTCCATAAATCCAGTCTAGAGACATAAATTGTGTCTGCAGCACAGAGAAGGAAGATTATCCGAGAGAAATCCAGGAATACAGGACGGGAAACACAGCTCAGGAAAGTGACCAGGGGATTACAGGCTGATATCACCCAGTCCCCGCCCTACTCTGGACCAATCAGTGAGCAGTATGGGTGGAGGAGGATGGATTTAGTGTTCATGACCCACCTGTGCTGATCTCTGTAGGAGTCTCCTCCTCTATAAATGTCCCCGTTATTCCATCCTCCTCCATAGACTGCTGATCATCCCTCACATACGCCTCTTCTTCTTCTGCTTTCACCTCAAATTCTATATCGATTGGATCTCCACTCTAAATCAAGGAAATGAGAGGAAATATCATCTGTATAATATAAGGTCACATAAAAAAATCCACACATCATCTTTACAAGTCCATGTTCTAGATGTTCTGCCCCCACCAACCTTGTAATGATGAGGTATGGTGTGACCTTCTGTGTGGAATCCCGGGAATACAGAGGACGGGGACATCTCTCTGGGGGGTTCCTGGTATTGGGTGGCTCCATCATATCCTTGTGTCCTTCTGAAAAACTCCTCCATCTCTCCATCCTCCTCATCCTCCTCTTTATACTCTTCTTTAACATCAATATTATCATCCCCCGAGGATTCCACTCTGAAAGATATAATAAAACATTCATTGTAACAAACATGCTGTGTATAAATCACAACTACCAATAATTGTCATCATCTACCTGATGATGGTGAGGGATGGTGTGACCTTCCTGTGTGGAATCCCGGGAATACAGAGGACGGGGACATCTCTCTGGTGGGTTCCCATGACTGGATCCATCTGTAGGAAACACACACACACTGACTGAATCCATTGTTTCTATGTGTTTATCAGATGATGGGGGATCTAGGTGGATCCTCCGTACTGCTCTCTCCTTTACAATAAAGTCTCCTCTTACCCGGTGATGTGAGGGGCGGCTGATTGTCCATCATGACGTCCTTGTAGAGATCCTTGTGTCCTTCTAAATACTCCCACTCCTCCATGGAGAAATAGACAGTGACACCCTGACACCTTATAGGAACCTGACACACACAATGATACAGTCACCATCCAGACACATCCCTTGTCTGTTACTGGAGAATGTCCCAGAATTCCCGGCACCGCTCACCTCTCCTGTCAGCAGAGCTCAGTGATCTCTCTGGTGACTTCTAGAATCTTCTTCTTCTTTCTCTCTTCTATCAGGGAGGGAGGTGGAGGCAATGTGATGTCATATGATCTCCAGACTTCACAGGAGGAAAACTCTACATCTGAACACAAATAGTCACATAAAAATGATATTCCCAGAATCCTCCTCACCTCTCCATTCAGGTCTCCATTTTATTAAAGCCCCACTTCAGGCTGAGGTATAATTCCCCCCACAGGACCCCCACACTACGCAGGGTATAGGCTTGTTGCAGCATTCTGATGTCATTACATACAACGCAGGACCAACAGTCCCCACTTTACATGTGAGGATACCAAGGGGCCCCCACATCCTAAGAGCATCAGAGAAATGCCAGATGGAGGGACATTGGGAGGAGGAGCTGTGAGGTCAGTGTGATGTCATAGGATTGTCTGACTCTGGATGGAGGGACATAAGGAGGAGGAGCTGTGAGGTCAGTGTGATGTCATAGGATTCTCTGACTCTGGATGAAGGAACATTGGGAGAGGAGCTGGAGGTCAGTGTGATGTCATAAAATTCTCTGACTCTGGATGGAGGGACATTGGGAGGAGGGGCTGTGAGGTCAGTGTGATGTCATAGGATTCTCTGGATGGAGGGACATTGGGAGGAGGAAGCTGTGAGGTCAGTGTAATGTCATAGGTCATATAGGGACATTTGGAAGGGGAGATTTGAGGGCTCCTCTATATGAGGCTCCCATACAAACCAAATCCTAGTTCCTGGGTGCGTCCTACCTCTCCTAAACTGAAGAGTGACCTTTGACCTTTACCATCCGGAAATCTGTCCGGAATCTGTGGAAGTAAGCTGTCATGTGATCAGGTGACGTGCGAGGAACGGAGTTTAAATAGCAGACAATTGTCTCCAGAACCCCTAATGGTGGGGATGGATTTGGCGGCGTGCTGGTGCCAAGTTTCCTCCCCCCAGGGTCACTGCAGGTGTGGAGAAAAGCTGTGTAAGAGGATATGGAGGAGAGATGAGGAGGAGATCCAGGAATCAGGAGAAAGGTCAGGGCAAGCAACAGACGAGCGCATCCAAGAGACCAAGCCGGGGTCACTACACAGAAAATCAATCCAAGGAAACAACAGGCAGGACGAGGAATAGCAAGAAGGAGCTGAGAGACAAATGAGAATATTGCTCAGCCAATGGGAGATGAGGGGGAGGGGAGGAAGTCACTGAAGGTGACCATAGATCCATGGAAATTCAGCTGGTTCAGCAGGGATCGCTCACATTTCCATCCATGTGTGGCCACTGCCGGATAAAAGCCACTCCCCCAGCGGCAGCAGCCAATAGCTTCAGTGCTGATCCGTGTATTCTGAGAGCGGAGGAGTCCCCCATTGTCAGAATACAAGAGTGCAGTGGGGAGGATTCCCCATCCACCTCCTATGTGTGGATGGGGAAATTGCTTCAGTTTTTATGGTCATCCCGCTGGCTGAACGATAAAAACTGAACCATGTAGGCCAGCTTTGGGGGCAAATATATTATCATCAACTCCTCCCCCTGAAGGGGTTCATCTACGTATTACCTCCTCTGCCGCCAGATCCAGGAATGTCACCTTGTACTATATGGAAAGTCCTGTCTGTACCTGACATCACTTCCTGTCTGTACCTGACATCACTTCTGTCTGTCTTCCATAGAGACTTCCTGTCTGGGTAGAAGTGAGATCCCCATCTTGTGGAGCTCAGAGGAACTGCAGCCCCGAGAAGCATCTGGTAGTGTGACCCGGCCTTGTGCTGGGTGTGTATGGACTGTAGATCCTTATAGAGGGGTCACCTCCACTCCCCCAAGGGGACAGAAATATATGACTGCTCGGGGGAGGGATTTTGGCCCCTGTGATTTTGCAGTGTAGAACCGTTTTGGGGGGGTTGTGTGAAATGGCCCACACCAAACAAGCTATGGCGCTAACCTGTATATGAGTAGGCAATCCTGAGCCTTCGCTATATGGAAGAGGGGGTTGTGATAATACAAATGGCAGTGCCTCCACCTAGAATAGGGATCCTGCAATTGAGGAGACTCCCCCCTTTCTAGGAATGTAACATGTAGACAACTTACAGTAACTATACATAGCAGTATTAATGCACCCAGCTTATATTTCTAACATGGAAACATGTCACCCACCTGTATGAGATTAATGCAAAGTTTATATAAAGCAGCCACATAAAACAGGATGCATAAGAATAACATTCAGGAATGACAATTTACCGTAAATTGGGAGGTTGCAATTATACCCGGGTATATATGTGCATGTAGTATACAGAATACCTCCAACCAGGGGTTATAGTGCAGTCCGGTTGCAGGGGCCCCTGGAGAGGTGAGAGTCAATAAGATGCACGCTTCCACTTTAGATGCTGTGATGGCGTCCAAGTAACATGCGGATGATTGCACTGCTTGTCTGAAGATCAGCGATGCATCACCTAAAAGGATAAAATGCTCTATCTATCCTCACTCTTAGTCCCTATCCCTAAACTGGGCTGTCACTGCAACCGGGGCCTCTATCTGTCTAAGTGGCCATCGGATGCCTAACCTACCTCTAGCCTAATCTATCCAACGCTCCCTATGCTAATCCCAGCTAAAGGGAGATCCAGACCAATAAGGGTGCTATGGCTTTAAGCCAAGAGGCTGCAAAGATACACTGCAATTAACAGAAAGTTCACCTGACAGTCTTATGCAGGTGAAAACACGGATCTATATATATATATATATAGACAACTATACGGATTCTGCAGTGTAAATAGAATAATGATAATGAACCACAAATCTCTCTCTTACAGAGATATTAGGGTTCTAATACAGAAGTTGAAATATAACAGAGGCAGACCTCATCTGCTTCAGTAACAACTAGATAGATAGCAGCCTTGTTAATCTGGATCATTACTCACAGAATCACCATACAGTTCTCCCCAGATACATAGCACATGGCAGGCTGGAACCCTCTGCCTGATACTTCCTGGAAAACCAACTATATCACATCCTGGGGTTTCCTGACCTCCTTGTAGGGGCAGGAAGCACACCTAGGGACTTGTCTGTAATGGGACCTCTATGGTAGTGGCTGTATATGGATGTAAACAAACCACAACCAGTGTATAAAATAACAGCTCCCTACACAGCTATCACCTTTTATATCCCCTCCCCCTTTACTTCAGATTGTAAGCTCCACGAGCCGGACCCTCCTATTCCTTCTGTACTGAAATGTATTGTAATTGTACAGCCCCCTTATATTGTACAGCGCTGCGAAGACTGTTGGTGCCATAAATCCTGTATAATAATAATAATAATAATTGCTGAATATTAGAAGAGATCAATTATTCCGCTTCAATATGTCAGAACAAATGAGATTGGATCCTGATTACCGACAGACTCACCTGTGCTTTACATCATAATACCAACATGTGTGATAAAACGTGGGATCCGTGGAGTCCCATACATCTCCGTGCCCTAGTACTTCCTGATTTGGCTCCCCTCCCCTCTCCTCTTCTCTTCTCCTCCTCCCTCTCCCTTCCCCTCCTCTCTCCTCCCTTCCCTCCCCCCTTCCTCCTCCTCCCCTCTCCTCCTTCTCCTCCCCACCTCCTCTCTCCTCCCCTTCCCTCCCCTCTCCTCCTCCACTCCCCCTCTCTCCTCTCATTACTGTTACCCTCCTTTCTTCCTTTCACTGCTGTCTCTTTTATTTTTCCATGTTCTGGTGCTAGTTGAGTTCCATGTTGTATGTGTTGTGCACTATGTGTGGTGTGTATGATGAATGCTCTGTGTGATCCATATGTCTCCTATTATTGCTTCCCCTGTACAAGGTGGACTTAATGCTGGGAATGTTCTAGTAGACGTCTCCAGTCATTATTGCACACATTTCCTGCTTCCCTGCGGGATTGTCTGTTGTTTATTCATCCACGCCTGTTTGTTGGTGATATTTTTCATACCTTATAACATGACACTTGTCTATTAACATTTTCTGTAACTTGAAAAATTATTTCAATAAAAAATATTGGAAAATAAATAGTTGGTTGCATAAGAGCTAGATTATTTTTTCTCAGATTTTTTTTTAAGTTATTTTTGATTCTTTCATGGGAACCACAGGAATGGATATTTAATGTATTCTCGGGGCTGCAGTTCCTCTGAGATCCACAAGGTGGTGGATCTCACTTCTATCCAGAAAGGAAGTTATTGTAGAACACAGACAGGAAGTGATTGTCAGGTACAGACAGGAAGTGATGTTCAGGTACAGACAGGAAGTGATGTCAGGCACAGACAGGAAATAATCTGGAATAAAGACAAGAAGTTCCATACCATATGAAGGTGGCTGAGGAGCCTTGGTGGAAGTGGCAGCAGAGGATTAGGTAATAAGATGTTATGTTCTATTTACACCCAGTAATCCCCCTATCATGTCTGTCTGTCCTCTTCCTCTCATAAGTCACACCCGTCCTGTTCCTCCATAGTCACGCCCGTCCTGTTCCTCCATAGTCACGTCCGTCTGTTCCCATAGTCACGTCCCGTCCTGTTCCTCCATAGTCACGTCCGTCCCTGTTAGATCCTCCATAGTCACGTTCGTCCCTGTTTCCTCCATAGTGCACGTCCGTCCTGTTCCATCCATAGTCACTTCGTCCTGTTCCTCCTAGTCACGTCCGTCCTCCATTCATCCATAGTCACATTCCGTCCTGTTCCTCCACAGTCACGCCCGTCCTCTTCCTCCACGGTCACGTCACGTCCATGTGTCCTTGTTCCTCCACGGTCACGTCCGTTCCTGTTCCTCCACGGTCACGTCCGTCCTTTTCCCTCACGGTCACGTCCGTTCCTTTTTCCTCCACGGTCACGTACGTCCTTTTCCCTCCACGGTCACGTCCGTCCTTTTTCCTCCACGGTCACGTCCGTCCTCTTCCTCCACGGTCACGTGACCCCGTCTCTTCCTTCCACGGTCACGTCCGTCCTCTTCCTCCACGGTCACGTCCCGTCCTCTCTTCCTCCACGGTCTCACCGTCCGTCCTTTTCCTCCACGGTCACGTCGTCCTCTTCCTCCACGGTCACGCGCCGTCCTCTTCCTCCATAGTCACTGTGAGCTTTCTTTTATCTCCAGCAGATGATGGATACACCCATATATAGTGTGGAACCCCAGATGAACCCCTTCAAGGGGCAGAAACATTCCCCCACTTCCGGGGCCGTGAACATTCTCCTCATTGTGGAGAATAATTCTAGTAATATGGTCCTCTAAACAAACAGCGACTGACAATAAATAGACAAGGACAAGGCGCCGGCTCATCCTGCACACGCGCTGAAACCATTACATGGCCTACAAAGGCAACCAAGATGACCACTACACAGGCAGCCAATGGGCAATCATCGCATTATTATACAGGATTTATATGGCGCCGCCAACTCAGTGTTTCGCGCCTAGCGCTGTATCAAAGATGAAGGCAGACATTACAGTTACAATACAATTTGGTACCAGAGGAAACAGAGGGCCCTGATCCTGAGAGGCTTTACAATCTTAGAGGGAGGAAGGGTTGAGTGATACAAAAGGTAATAGCTGTTCTGTGGGGGGAGGAGCTGATGGAGGAAATAAACAGGCAGTTTAAAAGTGAAAGAGATCTAAACAAGAAAGCAGAATAGGCTTCTTTAAAGAGGTTTTCAGGGATCGTCTAAAGGTGGATAGATTGGGAGACAGCCGGACAGATTGTGGGTAGGGAGTTGCATAGGATTGGAGAAGCTCAGGAGAAGTCCTGGAGGTGAGCATGGGAGGAGGTGACACAGTAAGTAGAGAGTAGAAAAGGTCTTGGGAGGATCGAAGGAAAGCGGTTTGGTAGATATTTTGAGATAAGGTTGGTGATGCAGCGGAGGGCAGAGTTGTGGATATGCTTTGTAAGTTGTTAGTATTTTGGGTATATTTCAGTTGGGTGAGTGGAAGCCAGTGGAGGGATTGGCAGAGAGGGGCAGCAGACAGTGAACGGTTGGTACACTACACAGGCAGCAATGGGCAATCATTGCACTATGCAGCTAACACAATGATGGAGTGCCGGGGTCAGGAGTATGGAGCATAGAGCCCCTTACATTGCTGCTCAGGAGGAAGAGAAACATTCCCCAGCCGGCCATGAAGATATGTTTCATCATTGGTGTGTCAGAGGGAGGAAAATTCTGATAGAAGTAGAGGAGCTGAGGGGGTCTCTCAGGGGGTTACTGAGGATGGGGAAACACATTGGGCCCATGAGAGAGTAGTGGAGGTTCAAAGGCTTTTAGGGGGTAGAGTAGCTGAAGGAATCTGGGTGGATAGGGTTGCGTGGGGGGGTGAGCAGGGCTCAGGGGGACACTGATGGTAGGGAGGGGGGCTCTTGGTCTTCTGATTGTCCTCTTACTTTCCAGACCTTCTTACAGAACTCCTACCAGGAAAGGAAGGCAACCTTCACCTTCTTACCATCTCAAACTGGTCATTATATCTATTTTCCAAGATACCAAGTGGAATGAAGGAGGGAACAATCCTTCACCCCTTGGTGGGCACTTGTTTCTTAGAGGTGGTCTGTGTTGTGCATTATCGACTAAAAGGTAGTCAGGGGTCAGTGCTGAAACATCTTCAGGAGACACTCCCCATACAACACACCATGACACAGGCTCTGGCAGTGCCCGGTGCTGGAATTCAGAGCCCAGGAACCCATCACCACTCTGTACAATGTCACTGGATACTACAGTATACTTGGTAACCCAATCCCTCTCCCTCCTGTCCTCCTTATACCCACACTAGGCTGTGTCATTGGAGGGAAAGAAACAGAATTATCCTGATTAGCCAGGAAAAGTCATCACGTTCCCCGTTCCTGGAATTCATAATGAGCCGACATTGACCTCACAGCACTGCCTCAGAGCAAACAAGTCATAGGAAGGATCGTATTTATCATTCCTTGTCTGCAGATCTAAAACTCATTCAAAACCAGTTCAGAGACTAAACAAACCCAACAGAGAAAAGGGGATTTCCCTGATCTGGCAGGACAAGAGGGTCCCGGGACCTCCTAAATGTAAGAAATATTAAACAGTCCCAACTAAATATCTTCCCATGATTGTAGTAGTTCCTAAATGTCAGCAACACTCCTATTCCCACCCTTCACATCCACATCCTATTATTGTTGTGACCAATACCATCCAAATCAATCTTACTTTCATTTCCCAAAGTTTATCCGTCTACAAGGAGACCTGTATAGATCACATGATGGCACCAATGAGGATGGAGGAGGACCGAGGTCACATATGACCTGAGAAGAGATACTAAACCTCACCCTGCGAGATATCCTACCTGCTTGACCGGAGAGGTGAGGAGGATTCTGGGAAGGTCACATGACAATCACTTATCATCTCTATTACTTAATAAACACAGACATGACCGGAGAGGTGAGGAGGATTCCTAGGAGGTCACATGACATCACTCTTATCTCTATTAATAAAACACAGACCTGACCGGAGAGGTGAGGAGGATTCTGGGATTTATGGCTAAACATTGATATTTCCTATGGTTCCTCAATACAGAGAATTTTCCTCTTCTGAAGTCAGGTGATCATATGACCATCACAGTGCCTCCATGTGACTCCCTAAAACCCTGAGAGACAGAAAAAAAACAAACAGTGCAGAAGATTCTAGAAGTCACCAAGAAGATGATGGAGCTGCTGACAGGAGAGGTGAGCGGTCTGCCGGGAATTCTGGGACATTCTCCAGTAACGAGACAAGGGATGTGTCTGGATGGTGACTGTATCATTGTGGATGTGTCCAGGTTCCTATAAGGTTTCAGGGTGTCACTGTCTATTTCTCCATGGAGAGTGGGAGTATTTAGAAGGACACAAGGATCTCTACAGGACGTCATGATGGACAATCAGCCGCCCCTCCCTACACATCACCGGGGTAAGAGGAGGACTTTATGTAAAGGAGAGAGCAGTACGGAGGATCCACCTAGGATCCCCCATCATCTGATAAACACATAGAAACAATGGATTCAGTCAGTGTGTGTGTTTCCTACAGATGGGATCCAGTCCATGGGAACCCACCACAGAGAGATGTCCCGTCCTCTGTATTCCCGGGATTCCACACAGGAAGGTCACACCATCCCTCACCATCATCAGGTAGATGAGGAACAATCCACTGATAGTATCCATTAGGATCTGTACATTATCCTGCATTGTTATCAATTGATGTCATAATTTTATTATATATTCAGAGTGGAAACCTGAGAGATCCTAAAGTTGAGGATAAAGAAGAGATAAAAGAGGAGGAGGATGAGGATGGGGGGATGGAGGAGACAGAGCTTCTAAAGAAAGCACAAAGATCCTGTACCATGACACCATGGTGGAGTTCAATCCAGCTTACAGGAAAACCCACCAGAGAGATGTCCCCAGTCCTCTGTAATTCACCGGGATTCCACACAGAGGTCACACCATCCTCACCATCTGCAAGGTTGGTGGGATGGGAGCATCTAGAACATGGAACTTGTGGAGGACAATGTTGTGGATGTTTATATGTTACCTTAACATTTTTACAGATGATAATTTTCTCTCATATTCCTTGATTTAGATGTGGAGGATCCAATTCGAGATACGAATTTGAGTGAAAGCAATAATAAGAAGAGGCTGTATGTGAGGGATGATCATCAGTCTATGGTAGGAGGATGGAATAACGGGGACATTTTATAGATAGGAGGACACTCATACAGAGACTTTTCTTTTTTTTTTCGACAGGTGGGGGTCATGAACATAAATCCATTCCTCCACCTACTGCTCCCTGATTTGGTCCAGAGGTAGGGGGGGGGACTGGGTGATATTTTTCCGTAATCCCTGGTCCCCTTTCCTGAGCTGTGGGTTCCCCCCCTGTTTCCTGGATTTCTCTCGGATAACTTTTCCTTCTCTGTGCTGCAGAAAATTTATGTCTCTAGATGGATTTATGGAGATTCTGGGGGTCAGTTGGGGAAAAAAAGTTTTATGTTCACCCTGGGCTTTACTTTAAAACCTAGACACCTTTTTCATGTTCTTTTGGGTTTATTCCTCTGGTTTTCCAAATCCCAAATTTTCCCCCAAAAAAATTTCCCCCCCCCCCCCCCCCCTTTCCCCTGGAGGGTATGTCTGTTGGGGGTTTTGAGACCCCAAACACTGAGTGCAGTCCCCCAGGAGATGGGAGGGCACGGGGTGGGATCCTGCCCAAAAAGTCTAAAAGTAAAACATTTTTTGATTACAATTGTTTTCTGAATGCCCAAAATTATGAGCCCCTTTACCCAAATTAAAACTAAAATAATTTTTTTTTTG